AAAGTATAAAAACATATTTATTGTAGTGTTATTTAGTTATTCTGTGAATTGTTGATACTAGGTGACAATCCTTGTGAAAATATTTTTTTTTACACATTGATGCACTTATCAAGTTTGTTAATCTAAACAAAGTATAAAATATAGCGGGAGATTTTTCGAATTCATCTCACAAAGTTTTTAGATAAATAATTATTATTATTAGAGCTCTTTTGATCTTTAGGAGTTATTTCTTTCTGCTACTATGTCAATTGATTTTTTATTTTAAAAATATGATTTTCTTATAATATCATAATTTATTTTTAGTTTAAAAATCTATCTCTTGTTTTATATATTATTTATTTATTTTTCAATGAGTATTTGCATAATTATAAGTTAGTGCGACCATCAATTGATCCAATAAATATTTTGACAAATAAATTATAATATAAATATAAAGATAATTAATGTTTTTATTTTCTAATATGTCACTAAATAGGTCATCATCTTCATTTATATCAGTAAATTTTACATGGCTTTTGAAAAAATGCTAAGAATTCTTTCTATCACTTTACTTTATTTCAATGTTTTGTGGTCATGTTAACTCTTAAGAATTATCTATATATATATATATATATATATATATATATATATGTATATATATATATTAAGTTAATATTTTTTATTTTATTTTAGTAAATTTTGTAGAAATATTTTATTTTAATTTGTTGAGCAAACATAAAATTATATTATTTTAAGTAATATCATGTATTAAATTTTATTTTTATTTAATTAAATTATACTAAACACTGTCAATATTTTATTAACTAATGCAATATAAATTTAAAATATATAAAATTAAGTCATGAGTTGACATATAATTTCTTTAAGGGATTCTAAAATATTGATGATAAATAAAATATAATTAATAATAAAATTAAGATAATTAAATTTTGTTATTTTAAAAACAATAATGATATATTTTTTATAATTAAATTTAGTTAAAATATCTAAACTAATTTATATTTTGTTTTGATGAAGTCAAGTTAATCATATTTATATTTGAATTTAATTTATATTCATCACACACAATTATTAATTATATCCAAGTAAAAAAATATATTTTTTGATATTAATATTTTTTTAATTAATAATTTCCTTTTATGTTTTTCATACCTTTATTTTAAGAGAAAATATATTTTTTAATAAAATTTACTTAACAATCTAAATGATTAAAAAATAATAGTATGTATACCATGAATGTTGAACATTTTAAATATATATATATAAAATAGTCAATTACTAGTGATATAGTACTAATTAATAAAGAACTATTAATTTGTGTATTTATTTTATTAAATTTTTTTATTATTTTAATAAATATTAATTATATTGTCTTTTATATGTTGTTATATATTAATTTTTAATTTTTAATTTTTTAGTTGATTGATTATTTTTTTAGAATAATTACATATATTCTTTAATAAGAAAGTGTATTATATATTAAAAGAAGAAAAAATATATACCATAATTTTTTTTGTGTTAAATAAAAAAAATAAATTTATTTTAGTTGAAAACAAACAATCATTTAATATTAGAATTATTATGAAGGAGCTAAAATATGGTAAAATAATTCCTTACAATATTTTTTTACTTTGCGAAGTTTAAAGATTTAAAAAATTATTGTAAAAATAATGTTTTAATATGTATTTTTTCATAAAACTTTACTAAAAATTGTTAGATAGTTTTTATTTAATTTATCAATTAATTTTTAAATTTATTTATTTTATAAGTAGAAGTATTAAAGTAGTCATACACTAAATTTAATTGAAGAAAAAATAACTACTTAAGACAAGATTAATAGGATGACACTTTAATTATAAGATATCATGTAGAACCAACTATTTTAATATTATAAAATATAATTATTTATAAAAAATATTTTAATTTTGATTAAAGCATTTGTAGGAAAAATTAAGTAAAACTAACAATATAAATGATTATATTGCATTGTTTAAAAAAAAATAGAAAAAGATGTGTCTAAAGTTTTAAACTTTAATATTGTAATATTTAAATCAACTATTGTGAAAGAATTTTAAAATACTTATTATTATATTTTTTAAAATTTTATAAATATAGTTCTCATCTAATTACAACAAATATATGAATACATATATTATAGGTAATGTTTTTATTTATACATTAAGATCAATAAAAATTTATGTTAATATTAACATATAAAAATTATTTATTTAATAATTTCATTTAAGTATAAAAATTTTATTAATTTTTTCTATTATAATAATTATTGATAATACTTTACTTTTTTTACTTAACCAAATTTTCTATTATTAATTATTACTTTATTATGAAAATTTAAATAATATACATATTATTAGAAATAATAATCTTATAAAGTATGCTATTTCTAAATTAAAAAATTTCAATCATATCTAAAATTTTGAAAAATAATAAAATAAAGAGTGGTATACTAAATTTAAGTTCTCTTGTACTTAAATAAAATTATTTTTTTAATTAAATTTTATAATAGTATTATTTATTTAATTGTAATTATAAACGATATATCACTAAAAATTGTTAAATATTCATTAATAAAATATTTAGTTTGTTAATATAGTTATAACGTCATGTCATGTGTCTTAATTTTAAAATTAGTTGAATTATATTATTATTTTAATTTATATTCATTATTGATTAATAATATTAAAATATATCTTTTTCGTATACAATAATTTTTTAATAGAATAATGATAAAGATTTCATTTTTAAATATTATATTCATTTAACATATTTTTTAAATAAAAATAAGTAGTTTAAAATTATAAAAGATAAAATTTTATAATAAAAAAAGTGATAAATAAAATAATATTACAATTTTATTATTTTGATTTATAACATTTATAACCCAGGGAGTAAGGATTTTGACAATTCTTAATTTGATTTAAAAAGCAAGATGGCCTTGTTTTTTGTACTACAGTGGCAAAGATTTACATTCTTTTAAAACAACCTTTTGATCCCAAGATTCCGCCCTTTCCTTTCGCGTTTTGAATCTCACACTTGAATCTTACTATCAAAGTGTCTTTCTCTTGTTCTTGAAAGAATAAAAAGTAAAACTGAATATTAAGAGCTACTATGATGACAAATTAAAATTTTTAAAATAAAAATAATTAATAATAGTTTATATTTGAGGATTCTATTGCAATATTTTATTTTTATTAAATGTTATAATAATTATTATAAATTTAAAATTTTTAAATTAAAAATAATGAATTATAATAATTAAAATAAATTAAATAATATTAAATTTCATGATAATGAAAGGGTAATATATTTAGAAAATATAGTGTGTACATGATTTGTTATTAAAATATTATAAAAACTTTTTGATTTGTATATTTAATATATTTTCTATGATAATGAATGAATAGATAAATAAATTATAATATTTTTAATTTAAATTAAGTTTGAGTATTATAAATTATATTATATTTGCTAAAATTTATATTTAGTTGTGGTAACTTGAATGTTGCATTTTCTAAAGTAATGTTAATAAAAGAAAAAAGTTATTATTGTTGAAAAGGATGAAAAATATATGAAAAAATGTTGTGTATTTTATAATATTTTTTAATGTAATTATATTTAACATATAAAAATTTATTACCATTTTTTTATATTTAAATTATAATTATTTTATTTTATTTAAAAACAAAATAATTTAATAAAATATACATGTATTATTTAAATAATATATACAATTATTTAACTAAAATAATTTTAATGAAAAATATATATTTTATTATTTTTAAATTAAAAAAATATTTAATAATAAAATATTTATTATATTAAATACGAATAACTTAATTTAAATTTTTACCCAAATAAATAAAATTAAATAATATAATTTTATAAATTTTAAAATAAAATTATGAAGAATTAAAATGTAAAATTTACATTTAGATTAAATTAAAAAAATTATGTAAGTATAAATGATATTACATAATGAGATACAGAATTAATTGAGAATGATCCGTGAATTACACTCTTTTTTATTATAATAATTTTATTTTTTAACTTAATTTTTTATTAATTTCATTTTGAATTTAGAAATAAAAGTACTTAACAATTTTTCTTTATAACTATGTATAAACTTTCATGTTCGTGAATCTCTATCATTATACTTATAAAATTTTTATTACTATTATCTTATATAAATTTTTAAAATTTTTAAAAATACTTTTATCTATATAAAATTTATAATTTTGATATATTATTTATATCATTTTAAAATAAATTATAATATAAAATTATTATAATTTTACTAAATTTTTATACTTTGATATGAATTATTTGTGATTATAAAATCAAATGAAAATAAAATTTAAAGTAAACTTTTGTTTGCTAGAAATTTTTAAAGTAAATTAATGTTATATATATATATATCTTTTAAATAAAATATATGTATATTATATAAACTACTAACTAGTTATTAAAAGTTCCTCTATTGAAAGATAAAAATTGGAATATAATATAAGAATAAATTATCAATTTACGTGTATTTATATAAAATAAAAAAATAGAAGAAAAAATAATTTACTTAACAAATATTACTTCACTTACATTAAAAAAACTGTAAGAGATGATGTATTTATTTAATTTAAAAAGTTAACTAAATTGATTTCATGAAATAAATTTTGAAATATTAAATAAAATAAAAACATATTTATAAATGAAGTTGAACAATATACTTACATACATTTCATTAGAGTTATATTTTTATTAAAAAACACAAATTAATTTTTGAACCATAAATTAAAGAAGGCCATGTGATGCTAACTAATAAAAATAATAATAACACCATTGGTAAAAGCTTCTTAAAGAGGGAATATTAATAGGTAATTAATCTGTTTTTCTTTATTTTTAAATTTGATTGTATTTTTTTATAATTTTAATTTGGTTTTGGGTTTAGCTGCTATATAAGTTGAAAGGGAGCTTCGTGTTCACCCGCCGCCTGAAACATAAACGAAGAAGAGTGGGAAAGAAAAGGGTAAAACTGAAACGCATTTGGCTTTGCATTTGCAGCAACTGAAACTGATTACGCTCTTTTCTCACACACACTCTCTCTAATCCCTCTTAATGCTTTCCCATTCCTTCCTTAATTCAGTTTTTTAGGCCTTCAAAATTGCGCTACCAAGGTCCCATTTTTCTCTCCCTTTGTAGAAGCGAAGAAACCTTCCTGCACCTAAAAGAAGCACCCCCCTCATTGCCACTCAAGGTTTTTCCAAATACCCATCTTTTCTTTCATTGTAAAGTTTCCTTTTTTTATCATTTTTTTTATTTCATTTCATTTCGGTTCTGCATGTGGTTGGTTTCTATGCGGTGTCACTGTCATGAATGTGTTTTATTACATTGTTCTCATTTTCATGTTAATGCTTGTGTTGTTATTGTCATAGTTTTTTGGTAGTTTTATCATGGCACGAAGGTAAGTGGTTGATCTTAGGAATGGCTAATTCGCAGTGTGTCTGTATTTGAGTCTAACGTTGTTTTGTGTCATGCTTACTGATCTGTGAGGTGTTTGCATGCTACATAGGAAAATGAAGTACGTGTTGGTGACAGGTGGTGTTGTTAGTGGACTTGGGAAAGGTGTCACTGCCAGCAGCATTGGGGTGCTCCTTAAGGCCTGTGGCTTTCGGGTTACTTCTATCAAGATTGGTAATTATGTTTTTCTTATTCCGTTCTTTGAATTTAATTCTCACTCTTTTCTTCGAAGTTAGAACATAGTGATATTGAATGGAATGAGACTGGTTCTGGTTGTTTTATTCATTGTTTAAAGCAAGATGAAATAGAATAGAATGCTATATAATGCATTTCGTTATAAAACCTCTCTTTTTCTTCTCTAATTTGGAGATGTAAGATGGAATTATTTGTTTTATTTCTTTTGTTTCATTTTGTTTTAAAATATTCAAACAATGGAATGATAACATTTTTTCATTTTGTATAATCATTTCTCCAGATTCCATTTCATTTCATGGATCTTTCGGTCTTGGTTATTTGAGAGAAATAATTGTTTTTTTTTTTCCTTTTTCTTCAAAAGCTCACTCAGAGAGTTAACAAAAATACACAATTATTTATTTAAAATAAGTTTAATCAAACGCAGACACATATAAGCAAATATCGAAACATAAACTAAATAAAAAAATGGTGAATGGCAATGGAAACTTCTACTTGGGGGTTGCATTTTAATGCTTCTGTATCAGTATAATGGAAAGGATTAGCTTGCTCTTTTTGAGCTGGTAAATGTAGTAAAAGTTTGTTCTTACATTCTTTTAAAATAATAGTTTGACATTGTGCAAAATAATGCTGTTTCATTTTAATTAATTGAGTTATGTTTCAACTTTCAACTTATCTCTTGCAGATCCCTACCTGAACACTGATGCAGGGACAATGTCTCCTTTTGAGCATGGGGAGGTGTTTGTTTTAGATGATGGCGGTGAGGTAAATGACTAAATGGATTACTTACCCTTTTTTATCAGCCTTGGAATGCAATTTACTTGTTCCTTTGAGATATGTATTGATTACTTTTTAATAACATGACATCACCCATTATCATGTGAATTTTCAATCTTGTGATTGGTTTCAGTGGTAGCAACTGGGTACCTTTTTATTCATGTTCTTTTTTTTTTTTCAATTTTTTTCTTGATTGAAGGTTGACCTGGATCTTGGAAACTATGAACGTTTCTTGGACATCAAATTAACTCGTGACAATAATATCACAACTGGAAAAATATATCAGGTTAACAAACTGTTCGTTTCTTCCTTTTAAATGTCTTCTTATTTTTTTAATTAATTTATTTTAGGTGTGTATATGGTTTCTTAATGCTTTTGATTTTGAATGCTTAATAGTCTGTCATTGAAAAGGAGAGAAGAGGAGACTATCTTGGCAAGACTGTGCAGGTATGTTGTGTCATTCTGGTTTTTCGTCTGAATATATTTATGGTTGGATATGTCTTAGTGTCTTGGCTCTGATTTTACCTTTGATGTACTGGTAGGTTGTTCCACACATTACTGATGCCATCCAAGAATGGATAGAGCGTGTATCACTGACACCGGTTGATGGAAAAGAAGGCCCCGCTGATGTTTGTGTCATTGAGTTGGGTGGAACTATAGGTAAATAAATATTTTTACATAAAATTTTTATTTTTGCTAAGGTAGAATTTTATTTCCAATACTATTATAATTTTATTCACTTTTCTCTAGATTAAAATTTTAAAAATCATGGGTTAGGTTGAACCAGATTTTTAACAACAGTTAGTGGCTGCAAATAGTTTTGGTTTTTTGCAGTGCTCCAAAAATGGTAATGCTTAAGCATCTATTATCAATATTAATCTAAAATTACTTTTCTTTAATGTAGGAGATATTGAGTCTATGCCTTTTATTGAAGCACTTGGTCAATTTTCATACCGTGTAGGTAATGCTTGAAACCTCATAGTCTACTGAATTATATCAACTAATTTCTGTTGGGTGTACTTTGGGAAGGCGGTTTTGCTCATGTTGTTTACTTTTTCCAGGCTGTGGCAACTTCTGTTTAGTTCATGTCAGCCTGGTGCCTGTTCTCAATGTTGTTGGTGAGCAGGTATACTAAAACTTTGTGTTATCAAATGAACGTTTTCCTATATGCATATTAAAAATTGAGGAGGAAAGGAATTTAGAATTATTGGAGAGAATATAGTGGTTTTTTCTTTTTTTTGTTTTATATTAATTATATTTTTCACAGTGAATAAATGGATTGGATGCTGTCATTGCATGGTTTCAAATGTTACAATCAATTTAATATTATCATTTATTTATTGGGTTTTGTATGCAGAAAACAAAACCAACTCAGCATAGTGTCCGTCAACTTAGAGGGTTAGGGTTGACCCCAAATCTTCTTGCTTGTCGCAGTTCAAAGGTCTGTCTCTTGCTTTTTTACTTTTTCTTTCACCTTGTTGGTTCCCCATAATAATGATTGTATACTTTTACTTTGTTCTTCCTAGGAACTTGATGACAACGTCAAGGAAAAACTTTCTCAATTTTGTCATGTGCCGGTAATATGATATAAATGTTGACACTTTTCACCTTTCTTATCTTTTTATAGCTGTAATTTTCTCAATCAAAATTTTTGTTCTGCAGTCATTAAACATACTTACACTGTACGATGTTCCAAATATTTGGCACATTCCTTTGCTATTAAGAGTAAGTAATTCTGTGGTGCTTTATGCAACTGCGGTTCTGGTCTTTTTGTATTATGGAACATTGTTTATGAAATTTTGAATTATTTCTCTTATGGTTTAGTATATTTTTGCCTAGACTGTGAAATGCATTATTTTTCACTGAACAATGTGATGCATTTAGTAACCATTTTTTTTCCCTTTTGATATTATTCTGTTACAAATAGGACCAGAAGGCTCATGAGGCCATCCTGAAAACATTAAACCTGCACAGGTTTGTTTGACAAACTCATTCTGTGTTTGATGTACATCTTCATCCTGTTGTGCGGATGTTCTGAGAAATTTTTGTACTGCAAATATCTTAGATGTGGTTCTGTCATTCCACTAATTGTTATCGTCCTATTCTTTGCAGTGTTGCTACAGAGCCTAATTTTAAAGAGTGGATTGCAAGAACAAAAGTTTATGACAAATTTAATGAATCTGTTAGTTTCAATATTTTATATCATCTCAAAAAGGAAACCTGACATATGATTATGTATATTATCTTCCTTCACAGTGGCAAGTATTGACCTCACTACTATTATGTTCTTCACAGGTTAGAATTGCGATGGTGGGAAAATATACTAACCTTTCAGATGCATATCTTTCTGTGCTGAAGGTACATTTCTATAATTTATTTTCCATGTTTAGTAGTAATGCATAATAATGGCACTTGAATTGCGATGGTTAGCATTTTTAGCACTTGAATTTGATAAGAATGGCATAGTGTAAACTGTATAGTCTAAAACATCATTTTTGTCCTGTTCAACCCCTTTATTTTGTTAGCTTTTGAGTCTAAGAACTGGTTAATCATTTCTGGTGCTGATTCTGTAATCTCTTGCATCTTTAGCATAGAACTTAGGATGGCTTGTTTGCAGTAATATCATTAGCAATGAGTATCATCTATATTTACCCTACGATTCTGATGCATGGAAACCTGGATTTTTTTTGCAAATGTCAGTTGACTTGCAATAAATGATGGATGTTAGTAATTATAATAATACTGTTTAAACAGTGATGATTTTCTAGGAAAGTGCATGGCCGTATTATTACTGTCATGGTCTAGGGAAAGGCTTGGGTTGAATTTGACATAAAGCAACAAAACCTTGAGAAAATAAGGAAAAGTAGAAAGTGAGGGAGAAATTTATGATTTTTAGCTAAAGGAAGCATTAGATTCTCAAAAGTGATAGGGTATCATAACGTATGACTAGTTATGTATCACACACATAAAAGATGTTGAGTTGCTGTTAATCTGCTTTCAAATTTTTCTTGCAAGTTAATGCTTAATGTCAGTAGCAAAGTGAGTCAACAGATATAGAGATTTACTAGTGTAAAGAAATTAAGGAAAGTTTTTCATGTTACCTTTATATTTTTCTCCATGGAATGTGCTGTATTTCTTTATGAGTAGGTTTTATTGATGGAACCCATTTGTTTTCTCAGTGCTGCTTTGACTTTTGAATATTAAAGGATGTATAGTTTGTTTTTTTCCCTTGGCTTTGGGCATGTATTGAAAGTTATTTTCCCAAATTAAGTGGCTTTGATATGTACGAGCTCTAAGGAACTTACAAACTGATATTCTAGAGGCTTATATACCTGGTCTTTTGTGCAGGCACTTTTGCATGCTTCTGTTGCTTGCTACAGAAAGCTTGTTGTGGACTGGGTTCGTGCTGAGGATCTTGAAGATGATACATCTAAAGAGGTGACCGATCTTTCTACTGTTCTCCATTTGTTATTTGACTGTTTTGTTTTGCCTGAAGGCCAAATCTGTGGTGATAAATTTACTTGTTGCAGGATCCTGATGCCTATAAAGCTGCTTGGGGTCTTTTGAAGGTTTATCTGTTTTTGTACTATTCGGGCATTTCTTTATTTTTCTTATGTTAATACTTTATTGGTTTAAATGTATTGACATATAGATTATCTTAAGGTGTTTCTTAAATGAACTTCTGTTGCAGGGTGCTAGTGGGATTCTAGTTCCAGGAGGTTTTGGTGACAGAGGAGTGCAAGGGAAAATTCTTGCCGCTAAGTATGCTCGAGAAAACAGTGTTCCATTTCTGGGCATTTGCTTGGGGATGCAAATTGCTGTCATTGAGTTTGCAAGATCTGTTCTAGGTCTTCATGATGCTAATAGCACAGAATTTGATCCCAATACTAAAAATCCTTGTGTCATATTTATGCCAGAAGTATATTTCCAGATACACTATTCATATGTGATAATATTCTTATAAAATTTTGTTAATGTGGTTTGTAACTTTGTATTCTATTGATAGGGTTCGAAGACTCACATGGGTGGAACTATGCGTCTTGGTTCAAGGAGAACTTACTTCCAAGATTTCAACTGTAAATCGGCAAAGTTGTAAGGATTAACATTCAAACTCCAGTTTGATAATATACACATAAAAACATTGTGAATGCTATCTATCATCTGATAGATTACACTGATAAATGTTCTCCAGTACTTAAGTTTGTATTTGTGAAAATTTATCATCCTTTAAGTCAAAAATGAAACTGTACTGTAACATGTTACATGCTTAATAAAAGATTAATTGAAATGGGTATCAAATATGAATCCCCGTCAAATATTGATATTACAAATGTGTGATGCTATAATTTGGAATTTGCATAGGTATGGTAGTGCAAGCTACATTGATGAGCGACATCGGCATAGATATGAGGTAAATTGTGTTTGCATGCAGAAGCTTCCCTTATGTGAAATATGCTACATTGGTTATGTACAATGGTCCTACTATACAGGTTAATCCTGACATGATATCACAACTTGAGAGTGCTGGTCTATCTTTTGTTGGCAAAGATGAAACTGAGAAACGCATGGAGGTGTGCATTTACTTGAAACCCTTATGGCATGAATCTTGAAATTGCCACAAATTATTAATCATATACTTTATATTTATTTGCATTTTGCAAGTGCAGATAGTTGAATTGCCTGGCCATCCTTTCTTCGTTGGTGCTCAATTTCATCCCGAGTTCAAGTCAAGACCAGGGAAACCTTCTCCATTATTCTTAGGTATTTTTTTTTTTTTTCCAGATTCTCACTTCACGTCTGTTTTCTGTTTTCATTTCAACTTATTGAAAATCTGCTTACAAGCATGTCTCTTGGGGATGAAATATAATTTTGCCATTGAATTTGTTTGTGGTTCCTTTTTATTTTTCTTGCAATGGCTTATGGTTATTATTATGGTTGAACTTATGAATCCTTGTTAGAGCTGAACCGTATATTGAATTTTATGCATTGATTGAGACTGTTGCCAACTCATCATATCAAAATATTTATTTCTTGTGTGCTTAAACTGTGAATCTGCATTATTGAGTTGGAAGTTCCAAATTAGGTAGAGTTTTTATATACAAATTTGCTTCAATGGCATTCTCTTATAGCTGTTTTCTGAAATGAAATTTTTGCTCCTTTTTTGTTCTTGTTTCAAAATTTTCTACTGGATCAATTTTACTTGACTTTTATTTACAGGTACGTTTAAGAATGAAAATCTCTATGCACATATTTTCATCATCCTTTTCCACATACATATAGGTCTTACCTTTGTATACTCTGCGAAAGGGGAAAAGAATCATCATTTGTTATATGCTATGCTTCGAATATTTATATTTTCTAGACGTCTATACCCGTATCTTTGCATATTTTGCCTAGTTTGATGGACCACCACTAAATTATACAGCATAATGTCATTCCTTTCACTGAATTTGTAGTTTATAGATGTTCATTCAATTTGTATAGTTAATAATAATCAAGGAGAATATTATAATATGGGTATTAAGGTGCAATTATTATCTCTTTGAAAAGCTTTCTTCTACTCCATTTAATAGTTAAATGTTTTTTTATAATTAGTCTCTTAATTCAATCACATCGTTGCATTGTATTGTTTGCTTTCTATTGTGCATATTGTCTTAAGAGAGCAATAGCAATAAAGACATTCCAATACACTAAGAGAATGCTTCATTGTGATAGGATTAATAGCAGCAGCATGTGAGAGGACACTTGTGCCTGCAAGTAAAGCGTATGCCAAGTTAACAAATGGGATAATTAATGCACACCCTTCAATGTTGAAGGCACATAATAATGGAAATGGGTTCAAATCTTCCAATAGTTCCTTAAACGGTGTATATACAAATGCGAATGGCCTATGTGTTGATGGGAGCTATTAATCATCCAAGGTTTTTTTAGTTAAAATGTGGTTTGATTTTCTCCAAGGACAATTTTGTCCTCGGTTAGCTTGTACAGTTCTTTGAGTGGATTTATCTTTTAGCTCATAAGGGGATTTCTTCTCCAGCATGAAGCAAATTTTGAGTCTTTAACAGCTTTTATATTTCCAACCATATAGGCTGAACCTTGTTGTGGATGATACTTGTTCACAATGAATCAAAATGGTTGTAGCTTTTTATGATTAACTTTCATAGGGTACCTTAATTTCCAATCTAATTTTATATTGAGCTATAGTGTTGGATAATCGAGGGATGTCTTGTGTTTACATAAGTTACCCTTTGAGCATTCTACACTGTGGATGTCATGAGGGAAAGAATCGAAGTAAATAAGTAACAATCTTATTGGTTCTGGCTTTTTTTCAGTAAGTTGTATATGTTCCAAGCGTAAGATGGAAGTTCTTATTTAGAACATTGTTTAATTTGTTTGTCTACTTTGGCCACATTTGGTTTAACGTTAATGGTAATTCTGCGTAGATTGTGTAATAACCTTTTTGTATTAATGGAACTGAAGTTGTTAATTTAATTGGAAAACGATGCCATTCAAATGTACTGTGCGAAATTTAATAAAATGCTTTTTAAAAATTTTATTGAAACTTAATTTATTATTTTAATTGTTTCATTTAAAGTTTCTGTGAACTAAATAATGTTTATAAAATTTTGTACAACTTAAATATTAACTTAATTGTTTTACTATATTATAACCTATGATGTATTATTTAAAATGTAAGTAATAGTTAGTGATTACATATCCATAAATATTTAAATTGTATAAATTTAGTATACGTGATTTTTATGATAAAATTACAACGATTAATACAGTTTACTTTTAATATAAAATTAAAATTATTAAGTTTTAGCTAGTATTATTTGATCCTGCCTGACCTTTCAAAATAATGACTAATATGTGATTTTCGTCCTTTAAGTTTTTATTTAATTAGTCTCAATTTTGTTATTCAGATTCTTCCATCACTTATTTTATATATAAAATTCTTTTCCCTCCTATAATAATTATGTTTACAGTAGTAGACTTGAAAAAAGAAAAAAAATTAGGAAAAAGCTCAAAAGTCAAGATATTCATTAAATTTGAAAAAGAAATTGTAAGATATCATAATGTTAGAATTTTGAAGAGGGGTATATTTGAATTTATTTTATTTTTTATTAAACATTTTGTTTTGAACAATAACTTTATTTTTGGTTGTGATTACTGTGTTTTGTAAAAAGAGAGTTAAAATGCTTTAATATCTTCAGTTAATGGAGAATAAAGAGTTTTGGGTAGAGGAAAATTGATGGAGTAATTTTATTGTTATAAATTAAAAAAAAATGAATATAATTTTAAATTTATAACAATTAAAAATTTGATGGATTGAATTTGGACAAAATGTTATTCGGGACTAAAATCATAAATAAAATATTTCATTTCACATATATTCATTAATAATTTGATAGAATTTAGAATCAAAGAGTTGTTTCAATAATTGAAAATAAAAAAAAATTAAATCCTCATAATTAAAAATTTGAAGATTAAAATCATATACGAGAGAGTATAGGATTAAAATCATATATTTATTAAGCAAATTTTTTTTTCTTTTTTGGTCAACAACAAATTTTTTCTTTTAAATTACCTATTTAATATAAATGAGACAACAATAACCCTCCACATACTTCTAACAATAACTCTATTTTTTTTACTCACTTTTTAATGAAACTTTTTGGCCCTAACCCAGTAGCCCAGTAATTAAGTGGTTTAGAAACAACTTTTTTTTTTTTTTTTTGCATAATTAGGGTTGATTTAAAAAAAATTACTTAAACAGGATTTTACAAAAATAAGTTTCCTGTGTAGGGTGGGGAATGATATGTGGCAAGAGTGTCGTCTAGTAGCTACCGACACTAAAATGAAGAATCGTCTAAAATAAAAATGACATTTGTATTTTGTGACACGTGTTTATCGTGAAAACAAAAAAAAAATTTAAAAAAATTAAAATTTATCAACAATTAGGGAAGATAGATGACACGTAGCTAAATCTTAAAGAGTTGGCTAAAGCAGATCCGATTGTGATGTTAGTGTAATCAAAGACAACACTCCTTTGATTGATCCACGTGTAACAAGTGTCATATTTTAATATTTGTTAGTTTATATTTTGACACTTATTTGATTCTTTTTCATATAGTTTGCACTTAAATTCCTTGTATTTATATTTTAATGCATTTAAGTTATAGTAATTTAAATTCAACAACTTTAGCCTTAATTTTGTCAAATAATAAAAGATATTTGATCCACTTCTCTTGTGTGAATTTTCTTAAAGGTAAAAATTTTATGAGATGTTCACATTTATAGTTTTATTGTGTCTTCAAAACACTCTTTATATGCCTTATTTTGAGAGTTTTTACCATTTCTCATTACTAGAAATGATTTAGCCTTGTTTTACATAAATGTTGTAATTTCGTATTTTTAACCAATATGATCTCTATCACTCTTTTTGCCATAACTTTTTATGTAAATGTTAATTTTTATTGATTTCAGTTGCATTGAATTCTACACATGCAGTGTTTCAAAATGCATTTATGGTTTGCTGGATTTGGAGTTGCTTTCTATTTTTTTAGGATTTTTTGAAAATGAGACAGGTTTGCTGAAGTTGCCTAGATTTTCAAGTATCGCTTAAGAAAGAATTCCCTTGCTTGAGCGAGAAATGCAGAATTTATACAAGATTTTTTGCTGGTTTTCTCATTCGAGCGAGAATGACTGTTGTCTGAGCAAAAATTTGCTCACCTAAAATCCTACAATAGACTTTGCTCTCGAGCTATTTTTTGCTTGAACGAGAATTAGCTTGCTTAAGCGAGAATTCACTTATTGCCCTACAAAAATAGTATATTCAGTTTGAAAAGTATAGTCGGAGCAAGCTTTGAAGTCTCGGTACATATTGACCTTATTTGGCATTGTAGAGTAGTGAAGGAGCTTGGGAAAGTGATGAAGAACCATTTGGGGAATTAATTTCTATCTCTCTTCTTTGCATTTTTTTTATTGCAATGTATGCTATGAACAGATAGAACTCTAGGGATTGGATGTAATCTTCATACTCTAAATGTTTTAGTATTTTTAATATATGTTTGTTCATTTGCCATGAGTTGGGTGTGTTTATTTTGATTGTAATGTTTGTTTCTATCTTATAGAGAATGATTCATGATTTGAAAATGCAGGGTGAGTTAGAAAACTACCTTAGAAACCAGTTGAGGTAAATTAATGGAATACGTTGGAACTTTAGAAATATATTTTAATCTATTGTATGCTATATAACTTTTGCTAGTAATGTTGGATTATTTGTTGATTAGGTAAGAACTTATCACTCAATAAATATATTTTAAAATCTCGGGTGAGAGGAATCCAACGAGTGAATGTAACAAGAGTGTATCATAAAACTTTGATAAATGTTAATGTGCATTAGAACTAAAATATGAAAAAAATGATAGATGAAGTTCAATCTCCAATCTTATCATAGTAGTTTAATTTGCTTTTATTTGTATTTGCATTTATTTTCTATAAACTAAACTATCAAAAATCTAAAATATCACTTAGTTGTACATTTGCGGATATTTATAAATTTGTTAATTTTAAATTGGTTAGTTAAATTTGCTTAAGTGTCTACATTTTCTGTGAATACGACCCTTTATATTATATCAAAAACTTGGTACACTTGTCAATTCCTTAACAACGTGGAAATAGGCTGAACGGTTACGTGACGCGATTACCTTTATCTTTCCCGTTTTTTGTTGGTCTTCTTTGCAATTTCCCCTTTTGTTGTGTTGCCGAAAAAAAAAATATTACAAAAGCAATTTGTTCATTTTGGTATTCAACTTTTGTGTTGAAATCATTTTTGCGACATTGTAAAAAGTAAAAGAAATAATAATGTAAATGCATTTTAATTTAAATGTGATTTTTGTTTAGAATGCATGTATCTAATGTTTAAATGGTGGTCCAGGTAAGGCTAATGTGACGAGGAGACCAGCGCGGTGTTCTTGACATTCGTAAGAAGAATATAAAGAGATGAGGAGAGATTCCCACTGACGGAGGTGCATTTTTTTTTTTCCAAAATATATATTATATAGATTTAGTGTTTGTATAAATCAAAATGTCAGATTATTTTTTTAGAAATTGTATGATATAGTTTTTATTATTTAAAATTTGTTTAAAGGATGTATTAATTTAAAATTAAAGTGATTGAATTATATTTAATAATTATAAACATTAAATAATAATATAAATTGTTATATGGTAATAAATAGATAAATTAAGAGTAAGGAAAACTATATATAAATTTATGGTTTAGAAATAAGAAATTAAAAAAATATTAATGAAAAAAAAAAGAAATGTAATAGATATAATATTTTTTTTTATTTTGATGGTGGATTAAGAAATTTAAAATATATTTGTGAAATAAATAATATTAGATGTAGTAGAAATAACTTTTAATTGTTATTGCAAAAGAATAAATACGATATTTTTATAAAAATTATTGATCAAAAACTACATATAACAATTATATAATAAGAAAGGTAAAATATGAAAAATAATATAATAATTATAACTAGATAAAAAAAATACTAGCTTCACAAAAAATAATAATTATAAAACATAACAACTTTGTCATCCAAGTTATTTAAAACATTACATGTTTAAAATAAAATATATAATTTAAGAAACAAATATTTTATTGAATCAGAATTATGAAATTAAAAATAAAAATTAATCATCATAGTTTAAAATAAATAATTACAATAATAAATTAAGTGTGATAAGATTATGTATTTGTTTAAAATATATGTTTATTTATTATAATTGTAAAAATTAAAAAAAATATAAAATGGTCTTTGTTAATTAATATAAATATTTATTAAAATGTTCATAATCTGATATATAATAATAAGTTTACTGCATGAAAGTATGTTTTGTTTTAAATTTAGAATAATTAAATTTATTGCAATGTATTATAATTGTAAAATTTTGTTTATAAGTTGTTAAATTATAAATAAATAAAAAATTAATATTATATAATTAATGCAAAGATAGGATTTGGAATTTCTAGTTAATCGTTAGTAGATTTAGAAAATAAAATAAGTTGTGTAAAGTAAATATGTATATTTGTAGAATAAAATTATTAAATATACTATAAAGAGTTATTATATTGACAAAAAATAAATATTTGATTAACTTTAATATATATATATATATATATATATATATATATATATATAGTTTAAATGTTTATATTTCGTAAAAAAATAATTAGCATGAATTGAAAATTGGTTATCGTTGAATTGATAAAAATTTGATAACGGAGAATAAACTATAATATGTATTTTATTAGGTTATGATAAATTTTTTAATATCTTATTATTGAGTTCTGTTGTTTTTGTATTAAATTATTTAATTTTTTTTAGGTAAATTTAAATAATTAAAATTTTTATAATTAAATAATTGTAAAAA